TAAAAATCAAACACTTATGCTCATCAAAAGACTTCACCGAAAGAGTAGAAAGACAACCTACAGACTGGGAAAAAATTTTTGGCTACGAAAAATCCGATCAACGTCTAATCTCTAAAATCTACAAGATACTGCAAAACCACAACAACAAGAAGACAAATAACCCAGTTAAAAAATGGGCAAAAGATATGAACAGGCACTTCGCCAAAGAAGATATTCAGGCAGCTAACAGACACATAAAGAAATGCTCACGATCTTTAGCCATTAGAGAAATGCAAAGCAAAACTACAATAAGATATTATCTCATCCCAACAAGGTCAGCATTAATCCAAAAAAACACAAAATAATAAATGCTGGAGAGGTTGTGGAGAGACTGGAACACTTATACACTGTCAGTGGGAATGTAAAATGGTACAACCACTTTGGAAATTGATTTGGCACTTCCTTAAAAAGCTAGGAATAGAAGTACCATATGATCCAGCTATCCCGCTCCTTGGAATATATCCTAGAGAAATTAAGAGCCGTCACAGGAATAGATGTATGCACACCCATGTTCACTACAGCACTGTTCACAACAGCAAAAAGATGGAAACAACCTATGTGCCCATGAAGAGATGAACAGATAAACAAATTATAGTATATCCCTACAATGGAATACTATGCAACGATAAAGAACAACGATGAAGCCGTGAAACATAACGTGGAGAAATCTGGAGTGCATTATGCTGAGTGAATTTAGTCAAACATAGAAGGACAAATACTGTATAAAACCACTATTATAAGAACTCAAGAAAAGGTTTAAACACAGAAGAAAACATTCTTTGATGATTATGAGGGTGAGGAGGAAGGGAGAGTGTTATTCACTAACTAGGTAGTAGACAAATATTATCTTAGGTGAAGGGAAGGACAGCATACACTATAGGGGAAGTTAGCACAACTGGACTAAACCAAAGCTAGGAAGTTTCCTTAATACAATCAAACACTTTGAGGGACAAAGTGGCAGGGGTCTGGGGACCGTGCTTTCAGGGGACATCTAGGTCAACTGGCATAAAAAAGCTTTTTAAGAAAATGTTCTGCATCCTACTTTGGTAAGTGGCATCTGGGGTCTTAAAAGCTTGTAAGCGGCCATCTAAGATGCATCAATTGGTCCCAACCACCTAGAGTAAAGGAGAATGAAGAACACCAAAGACACAAGGAAGGTATTAGCCCAAGAGACAGAAAGGGCCTCATAAACCAGAAACTTCATCAGCCTGAGACCAGGAGAACTAGATGGTGTCCAGCTACTACCAATGACCACCCTGACAGGGAACACAACAGAGAGTCCCTGATGGAGCAGGAGAAAGGTGGGGTGCAGAACTCAAATTCTAGTAAGAACACCAGACTTAATGGTCTGAGACTGGAGGAACCCCGGAAAGCATGGCCCCCAGCTTCTCTATCAGCCCAGAACAAAAACAATTTCCGAGGCCAACTCTTCAGACAGGGATTGGACTGGACAGTGGGACATAAAGTGATACTCGTGAGGAGTGTGCTTCTTAGCTCAAGTAGATACAAGAGACTAACAGGCAGCATGTGTCCGGAGGTGAGATGGGAAGGCAGAGAGGGTGAAAGCTGGTTCAATCGACACGGGGAATCAGGGGTGGAAAGGAGGAGTGTGTTGTCATAATAAGGGGAGAGCAATTAGGGTCACATAACAATGTATGTATAAATTTTTGTATGGGAGACAAACTTGAAATGTAAACTTCATTTAAACCACAATAATAAAAAAAATTACTTCCAATTTAAAGCAGAAAAAAAAAAGAAAAAAGATTTAAAGCCTTGGAAACCCAATGGGGCAGTTCTGCTCTGTACTCTCCGGTCGCTATGAGTTGGAATCAACTCGACGGCAACCGGTTTGGTTTGGGTTTTAGGCCAGAAGTAACCTGGTATCAGTTGATCTCAGTAATGGGGGAAGGCAGGGTTTAATCAGTCATGTGAAGATTAGCCATTAGCTGCTCTTCTATATTCTCCCTCCTCTTCTCTTTATAAGCCCCATCATACCTACCTTCTTCAAGCCATTTGCTTTTTCTGGAATCAAAATGGTCTCCCTATATGCATGTAGAATAACTGCTCAGAATAAACCTTATGTTCAAATTTCAAAAAAAAAAAAAACAAAACAAAACTTTAGTGATAGGGTGAGGGACCAAAAAAGTTTGGAGACCACTAATACAATAGATTTGAGATAAGGAACACTAAGCAATTAATGGGAACAAAAGCATCAAATTACTAAAGCTAATTCTTGACAGGATATGATACATGATCAGGCAAATGTCTGTTGGTGGAAGGGAGGTAAGCAAAACAAGTATCAAGAATGAAAATTTGAACCTGTCAGTTAGAGATGACTGCCGGGTCTTGAGGCATAAGAAAATTCACTCAGCGTGAACAGAGCTATCAGTGAGATCAAAACCCGCTGCCGTCGAGTCAATCAACGACTCATAGCGACCCTACAGGACAGAGCAGAACTGTTCTACAGGGTCTCCAAGGCTGTAATCTTTCTCTTTCGGAGTGGCTGGTGGGTTCAAACTGCTGACCTTTTGGTTAGCAGCTGAGAGCTTAACCACTGCGCCACCAGGTCTCCAACATCAGTGAGATACCCAGATGTAACTGTCCATCAGGCAGAGTCCTTTCTGGGTCAAAGGCCAGAGATTCCTGACCAGAGTAAATTTTCCATGAATAGCACAATAATTACCTTCACTACTCATTTCTAGTAATAAAACTTCCCAGTTGACTTCAAGAAGAAAAAATTCCAAATTAAAGCAGAATCTGCAAGTCCTTACCAGCAATTTTAAAATCCCAAAACCTCAATTTAGTGGCAAAATATGATCTGAAATGACACAAGCCTATTTAAAGACTTTTTAAAAATTCCATCTAGTGTGAACATTCTTATGTTTAACTGCAGAAATACTAGTGTGTTGGATTAGAGTGTACAGACCCTGCTGAGGGTAATATGTAATATACAATAGGCAACATATCAAAATTCTGAACTGTGAAACATCTGACCTCAAGAATTTCAGATAAGAGGTTGTAGATCTCTGTTTAAGATTTCCTTTCTGTTCTTCCATTGAATATATTCTCAAAGCAGCCATATTTTAACCCACACCGAAAGTTATAATCTTAAAATATGGAAAATTACAGTCTTATGTAATTAATACTGTTAATCACTATTGTGGTTGTCGAGTCAGCTCAGACTCATGGAGACACCATGTATAACAGAACGAAAACACTGCTTGGTCTTGTGCCAGGGCCTGAACAGTTCACAGACAATGGTGAACCTTTATCAAGAGACACAGACCCTCCCGACAATGAAAAGACGGAACTGTGGATATCAGAATAGTTACCTCTCTTCTCTTCTCCCTCCTCTCCACCTTCTTACTCAATGGAACAAGTTTCCTCCTATGGGAAATAAAAACAATTATCAGAAAACCCAAGTCTATGCGCTATGTGTTCCTTTGAAAAGATGAGAAGAAAAAGGGATTGGCGTTGGTTTTGTAGGGTTCAGCTCAATGCAGCAAGACTGTGTTATTTAAATTTTTCCAGAAATTAATACTCAAAAAAGCCCGACATTTTACACGTATTTTAATGTGGCTGTTTTTGGTTTATGTATTCTGAGACTTTTAAGGTCATTTACTATCCTGAGATTAATGCTTCAGCCAACTAAGAAAAAGGAATTTCCTATAGAAGACTGAAATCTTAGCATTCTCTGAGGTCACAATGAAAAAGTGTTAGGGCCTAATTCCCCTTAAGAAAGTATTATTTAATTCTGTATATTTTATATTACTTTCTAAAATTTGTTTTCAGTGAACTCAGAGTACAGTTCTTACATTCCTGTTTATTCACATTTTCTTAAGTTATTTTTACATTCCTAGTATTAGGATTTCTTCAGGGGTTATAAAGAAAATTTTCTGAAGCTGATTTTCAGGCAGGGAGGATATAATCAAGTTGTACTATATTGTTTTAAAAATCCTGCAAAACCAAAGGGTGCTATTTTAGTCTGAGGTAAAGTTTCTTTTTGTCGTTAGCTGATGTCGACTCAGCCCCCAACTAATGGCAACCCAGGCACGCCGGAACAAAACGCCGCCCGGTCCTGCGCCATCCCCATTATCTGTTGAGGATCGGACTGTTGTAATCCACAGGGTTTTCACTGGCTGATTTTCCAGAAGTAGATCACCAGGCCTTTCTTCCTAGTCCATCTTAAGTCTGGAAACTCCGCTGAAGCCTGTTCAGCATCACAGCAACACGCAAACCTCCAATGACAGATGGGTGGTGGCCGCACAAGAAAGAGGTGCACTGGCTGGGAATCTAAACCAGTCTCTGGCATGGAAAGCAAATATTCTACCACTGGATCACCACTGCCCCCCTTCTTTCTCTTAGCATGTCATAAAGATTACACAAAGTTGATTTTAATAGAAAGCATTATTAGAGGTTTCACAAACCAGCTTCATAACATACTTCATGGAAAGACAGAAAGACTGAAAAATCAAGGAATAACATGAATCGTCTTAATACTTACTGTCGCTTTAGTGTAAGTTTTCGAATTCGAATTAGGTACTGGGTGATCTTGGTGAATCTCTGCTTGCATTTGTGTCGAATAAAACGAGGCCAGTAAATGAGATTTTCATCTATTTGCTCCAGTGCTTTCTCATAGTTTTTACTGAGCCTGACCTATCAAACACAAAAAGGAAGCTTGAAGGGCAAGGGTAAATGATCTATCAGGTCTTCACCGTCAGCAACACCTGATCAGGGACCTGATGAGGATGGCTTCAGAATAAATGTGACTATGATTAAAGAAGAGAAAACAGCATGTGGAACTTTTGCTCTTGAGCCATGGTCACTGCAATTTTATGTCCTAAGTCTTACCCGTTCCCAGAGACGCCTAGGAAAAGCTGCTCGTTCTATAACCTTCATATACAGGTAGCACTGTCCTGCAGGAGAAAGTAAATACTTTTAATGTCATTTACAGAGAGCACAACCTTTTAAAGCTGGTGAGCAAGTCTCCTGGAAGTTAAAGCTGGGGAGTTACCTTTCTCTTCTTTTATGGTGGCATACTGACTGTTTGCCAGGGGGCAGGATGACCGATTACACAGTCCAGTCAGGCTGTACTCATTTCTGCAGAAGCTCTGAGTCTTAGTTCTAGAATGGGAGGAAAGAAGCAAAGATTATCAAATAGGTTAGTTACCAACAGGACAACTAAAGGAATCTTTGAGTTGTAAATCCAGACTCACCTTATTTTGAAAGAACAAAACTGTTTGTTTCCTAGAGTATCCCAGATAACCTGCAGAGACAAAGTAAAAACCCATTTCAATTGTTCTGACCCAACAGGTGGCACATTAATACAAGAAGACAATGCCCCAGGGCAGTGCCCCGCTTTAATGAATAAAGGGGCCTTTGAGGAACAAGTGTAAACTAGTAAACTAGTCTGACTTGTTTTCTTTACACAAGTGACAGATTCTTGAAGAAAATTAAAAATACAAATTAACAACAACCATAACCTCATTATCCAGAGATAAAATTTTGTCAGTTATACCAATGTGCGTTTTATTCATTCAGCATTTACTGTGTACTTTATTTATGTAAGCACTGGCCTCTTCAAGTCCTGACACAGTAGGCACTCACGTATATGCTGATGGAGGAAGGTATAGTCCTTAAGGAGGTTTATCTATCTAGTTAGGAAAAGAGATTTGTAAACAAAGAACCGTAAAGTAGCAGCCTAAATGCTACAATAGAGGTATATACGAGCAGGAGAGGTTTTGAGTGAGCTGCTTGGAAGAAGCAGGAAAGACCTTAAAGCAGCTAAAGGGAAAAACACAGTATAAAAGAGTAGAACACGTTTTAGGAATTTTACAGGATGTGTTTGCAGGGGATGGTAGGAAATAGGGAAGAGGAAATAAACTGGAAAAGTAGGAGCCATAGTGAGAATCATGTATGCTGTGACGGTCCCTGGGTGGCACTAACCCACCCAGTGGCACCTCAGAAGACAAACGTGGCTATCTGCTTCTGACTGAAAACCCTATGGAGCAGTACACCAACGCTGCGCTAACTGGAACTGCTTGTGAGCCACTTTTGCCTCCGTATTGCCAAATCCGGAGGATGGCTGTCAGTACTCATGTTATTCAGCATCTTCACAGAATTCGAGGAGGCTGACCACCTGTCTTCTGAATTCTGTAGCTCCTGTCTTTTGTCCTGCCCACTGGCTGCTCCTTCCCATTCTCCTTTGTTGGCTCCATCTCCTGCTTGAATTCTAAATGTTGGAATGTCTCAGGGTTTGAGCTGGGGATCTTTTCTCTCTAGACTCCTCCTAGGGGACTCATTCAGGCATGTGGCTTTAAATATCATCTCTAAGCTGATGACTCCCAAACTGTCATCTCTTGGGTAGACTTCTCTCCTGGGCATCATTCAGGCTTGTACATACACCCAGCTGCCTACTTGATGTCTCCACTGGATGTCTAAAAGGCATCATAAACATTAGCACGTCCAAATGGAGCTCTCAGGTACACACCTCTCAGAAAGAATATCCTGTTCCTTCTTCAATCCTCACCATTTCAGTAAATAAAAGCACCACTTAACTACTTGCTCAAATCCAAAATCCCTTATTTATCCCTTTTCTTCTTCACTTACTCCATCACCAAGTCTTGCTGCTAAAACAGATCGCAAATTGATCCATTTTTTGTCATCTCCACTATTACTACCTTAGTCAAAGCCAACACTACCTTCCACCATACCCCAGTCTCACTTTCAATCTTGCTCACTTTTAAAAGTCCTTCACAAAGGACTTTTGTGACAAAAATTTTTCACAAACGTAAATCAGATTGTATTTCCTATTAAAAACCTAAAAAGCACTTCCTAAATACATGATCTTGCTCTGAGGAACATGCTCAATTTCATTATCTATTCATCTTCCCCTTGACTCCTATAACCTAGTCACATCGGTATCCTTTCCATTCCTTCTCTCATACCTTCAGATCATGGTACTTATTCTTCCCACTGCCTCCTTAGTGGCTGGTTCAGTCTCATCTTTTAGATCTCAGCACAAATGTCATCTGTTCAGAGAAACTTTCCTTGACCAGCCCTATCTCAAGTGGTTTCTCCCAATATGCTCTACTCCATCACCCCTGGTCTTTCCTTCACAGTACTCACTACTCAGTGCAATAATATCATTTATCTGTTCACTTGTTTACTATCTGTCTCCCCCGCCAGAGTGATCCGGGAAGGCAGGGTTTTGTCACTGGCAATCTCCAGTGATTGCCTGGCACACTGTAAGCACTTACTAAACATTTATTCAACAAACAGCTAAATGAATGAATTTAGGATGCTTCCAAAATGAAGACTTGGGCAGAGACTGCAACAAATGTAAAACAAAACAAAAAACCTAACACAGGAAAAGCAGATTGAAAACTAACGTGTGCATGGGATGTCGAAATCTTTAAATCTGGTATCTTAAACACTCCGCCGAATCCCCCAGACCCTTCGCCCCGCCAAGTCTCGTGGGACCATACAGCATGCACAAAATCTTTCTTTGCTAGGTGTCTAGGACTGGATACGTCGACCCCGTGGATTCAGGTGATGGTGTCCAAGTCCTGGGCAGCGGGCTGGAGTCCCCTGTAGACACGTGAGAGCCCCACGTTCGAATATCGGGGTTCTAGAAGCCTCGCGTTCAGAGTCGGGTGTGCGGTTTCTAAGTCTCCTAAAGTGGGCGACGCACCCTACTACTACGTTAACCCCAGGTGACAAAAGAACCGGAGGAGACTCACATCATCCGACTGCATGGTGTCGGCGCTTCAGCGTAGCCAGATCCGGGCAACAACCATGCTTCTTCCGGGGACTCACGTCCGGAAACTCTAGTCTCGCTTATCGCGAGAGACTCTGAGACGCTTGGGGATGCACAGCACCCCCTGACGGTCTAACTTTTGTGAGCGCCTCCACGTCCCGGCGCCTAACCCGACCGTGAGGGCGCGGTCACACCGCCTTTGCCTTTGCTCAGGGCTCCACCCTGAAAGTGAACCCGACTAAGGGCCCCGTAGCGACCCTGCGATGGAGGACGAACACAAGCAATCGGCAGAGTCCCGGAACGCGGAGCTGGCGCACCCTTCTCCGACGTGCGGCTTGAGACCATCTCAGAGTACTGACTGCCTAACCCCCTCCAGCCCCCTCTGCCTGGTAGTGAACTCGGGAAAGGTGCGAACCGGCGCCTACCGGGCAAGTAAGGAAGCTCTGGCGGTATCTTCGCGCTTCGCGGTTCGGAGCTGTATTGTTTGTACTCCTTCGCCAAGTCTGTGGAGCGCAAGCTCGAGAGCTAGGCTCGGCCTTTTTAACCAGGGCTTCAAACCGGTTAATTCTGGTTCAAACTCCTGCTGAGAATTTCCCTTTCTATTCCCAGATATACTGAATCAGAATCTACATTTTAAATAAGATGCGTTTAAGAGTTGCCTGGGGGATCGTGTTAGATTTTAAGAAAAGCCCCCAGGTGATACAAAATATGGATTCTGAGTCAGTATATCTGGGATGGGAATGCAAATTCTCAGCAGGGATTCAAACGGGAATTAAACAGTTTGAAGCCCTGCTTTTAACCTAAGACCTCCCCTCCCTCACTAACACCTCCCACATTTATTCCAACAAATACTCGTGTTTGTGCTGCATTGGGTTCCGAGCTTTGAAATTCAAGGATCAGATAATATTTCAGAAAACAAACTTAGAAAACTAACAGGTCCTTTCTGCTTTTCATTTTTGCTAGGGGAAAAAGAAAACCTTTACTACCTCATATCATTTTATAAAAGAAAGACCATTTTAATACCAAAAGAATTAAGAAAGGCACAATCTCAGAATAAGGATGAATCCTTAATTTGAATGCATATCACCTTATGAAATAATTCATTGTATAATAAATATTTAAAATTTGCTGCTTGTAAGTGAAAACCACGAATCAGAACCACCCTGTTCGAAAGCATTGATTTAGCATTCATTTTTTTGAGCTAAACTTAGGTTATAAAAACCAGTTGTCACTTGCTAAGACCATTGGGCAAGTCACTTAACCTTTATCAACCTGTTGCTCCATTTGAAAAAATGGGGACATGGGATAATTAGCAATATGTTAAATACACAGTTACACCACCCATCCGTTAGTTTGTCTTACTGTTGTGGATTGTGTGTGGCTGTGATGCTGGAAGCTATCTCATCTGTATTTCAAATACCAGCAGGGTCACCCGTGGTGAACAGGTTTCAGCTGAGCTTTCAGACTAAGACAGACTTGGTAGAAATGCCTGATGATCTACTTCTGAAAATTAATCAATGAAAAACTTATGGATCACAACTGAGCATTGTCCAACTCATCTGCTTTGGACAGGTTTTCAGGAGGGATCAATCACTGGAGGAGGGCATTGTGGTGAAGCAGAGGGCCAGTAAGGGTGAGGGAGCCTCTTGGTGAGATGGATTGGCACAATAGCCACAAGGAAGGACTTAATCAGCCATGAGGATGATGCAGGACCGGGCAATGCTTCCTTTTGTTGTACAGAAGGTTGCTACGAGTCGGAGCCAACTGGATGGCAGCTATCTATCTGAATGCATAGTTTAAATTGTTTCATAAAAAGTAGTTGTTAACTGTTCTCATTAGATTCCTCCCCTATAAAAGGCTGATTTAGAGTAAAGTCACATTGCCATACATACATGTACCATTTTATGACAGTAAAACCAAGTTAAAAACAATACAGAAGAAATCAAAGGCTAGGCAACACCCACCACCTGCAAACACTAAGTGAATTGCTTTAAAAAGGGGAAGTGCAAATAAATCAAAACCACAGTAAGGTATTACTTCATACCCACTAGGATGGCTAGAATCAGAAAGTCCGATAATAACAAGTGTTGGTGAGAATGTGGAGAAATTGGAACCCTCATACACTGCTGGTGGGAATGTAAAACACTGCAGCCACTCTGTTAAACAGTCTGGTACTTTGTCAAATGGTTAAACATACAGTTACCATATGACTGAACAATTGCACTGGTAACTCATAAATTCCAAAATTATACCCAAGAGAAATGAAAATATATGTTCAAACAAAAATTTTACACAAATGTTTACAGCAGCATTATTCATAACAGCCAAAAAATGTAGACAACCCAAATGTCTATCAACTGATGAATGGACAAATAAAATGTAGTATACCTACACAATAAAAAGAAGTGAGGCATTGATATGTGCTACACATGGATAAACCTTGAAAGTATTATGCTACATGGAAAAAGCTAGTCACAATAGACCACATATTCCATATTCCATCTATATGAAGTAGAGAGACACGGGAAGTAGATTAGTGGTTGCCTAGAGTTTGGGGGGGTATTAAGAGCAAATGGGGAGTGGCTGCTGCTAATGGGTATGGGGTATCTTTTTAGGGTGTTGAAAAGGTTTTAAAGTGATTATGGTGATAATTGCACAACTTTGTGAATATACTAAAAACCATTGCATTGTACACTTTATGTAGTGAATTGTGCAGTATGTGATTTATAGCTCAATAAAGTTGTTATATTAAAAAAAAAAAAACTGGAAACAATCTAGATGTTTTCAGTGGCTGAATGGTTAAACAAACGGTGGTACATCCATATCAGGGAATACTACCTAGCAATAAAAATGAACAAACCTTTGATAAATCTTCAGAGAATTATGCTGAGTGAAAAAAGTCAATGTCAAAAAGTTATATACTGTATGAGTCCATGTATATAACATTCTTGAAAGGACAAAATTATAGAAATGGAGAACAGATGAGTGGTTGCCAGGGTTAAGGAAGGGCTGGGGGGTGGGAGGAAAGTGGATATAGCTATAAAAGAGCAACATGAGGGATCCTTGTGATGATGGAAATATTCTGTATCTTGACTGTATCAATGTCAATATTCTGGTTGTGATGTTACACTGTAATTTACAAGACATTACCATTGGGAGAAACTAGGCAAATTGATACGTGGGATCTTTTTGTACTATTCTTACAACTGCATGTAAATCTACAATTATCTCAAAATTAAAAGTTGAATTTTTATACACTGAACATATGTTTGTGACCACCACTCAGATCAAGATGGCTCACATGACTAGCACCCCAGAACTCTCCTCCACGTCCCCTCCCAGTCATTACTACCACCACCACCACCACTGCCAACACAAGATAATCACCATTTTGACTTCTACAACCACAGGTTAGTTTTGCTTGTTTTTGAATTTTGTATAAATGCCTACAGCGTTTTCTCATTGGTGTCTGGCTTCTTTTACTCAATATTATGTTTGTGAAGGTCAGCTGTAAGTTTTTCTTTTTCACTGTTGTTGAGTTTTTCATTTTATGAATAAACTATAATTCTTTCTTCTGCTGATGGACACTTGGGTTGTTATCCGTGTTTTGGTTACTACAGATAATACTGTTATGAATACTTTTGTACATGTCTTTTGATGCACATATGTATGCATGTGTATTAATCATATACCTAGGAGTAAAATTTCTGGGTCAGAAAGCATGTGTATATTCAGCTCTTGTAGATACTGATAGGCAGTTTTCCAAAATGGCTGTCACAGTTACACCCCCACCAACAGTGCATAAGCTTTCCATGTGCTCCATAGCTTTGCCTTCCCTTGGGTAGTATTAGTTTTTAAATTGGTGACCATTTTGGTGGGTGTGCAGTAGTATACGAGCCTTGAGCCCTGGTGGTGCAGTGCTTAAGTGTTCCGCTGCTAACCAAAAGATTGAGAGTTCGACTCCACCAGCTGCTCCTTGGAAACTCTATGGGACAGTTCTACTCTGTCCTATGGGGTTGCTATGAGTCGGAATCGACTCCATGGCAACGGGCTAGGTTTTTTTTGGTTTGGTAGTAGTATATTATTGTTGTGTTAATTTGCATTTCCCTGTTGACTAAAGAAGTTAAGCACCCTTTCACATACTTTTTGGCTTTTTGAATTTCTCTTTGGAAAAGTGCTTTTGCCCTGCTTTCGCCTTTTTAAAATTGGGTTATCTTTTTCTTGTTGAATTGTAGGAATTCTTCATATATTCTGGATATACATTCTTTGTTAGATACATCTACAACAAGTATCTGCTCCCACTATGGGGTTGCCTTTTTTTTTTTTTTTACGTTTTTTTTGTTTATTGGGGTAAGTATACAGGTAACAGAACATTTGCCATTTCTACAATTTTCACATGTACAGTTCTGTGACATTAATTACGTTCATCATGTTGTTCAACCATCGCTGTTAACCGTTCCTGAATTTTTCTAACATCCTTAACAGAAGCTCAATGCGCCCTAAGCATTAGTGTCGTCTTTTCCCTCTCTCTCTCACCCATCATTGGTATCCACTAATAAAACTTTGGTCTCTATACATTTGTCTATTCTAGATATTTTATATAATTGGGATCATACAATATTTTTCCTTTTTTGAATGGCTTATTTCACTCAGCATAATGTTTTCAAGATTGATCCATGTTTTAGCATGTGTTAGGATTTCACTTCGCTTTCTGGTTGAGTAATATTCTGTTGTATGTATATACTACATTTTATTTATCCATTCACCTGTTGATGGTCCACCTTTTGGCTATTGTGGATAATGCTGCAGTGAACATTGATGTACAGTGTGGATTGCTTTTTCATTCTCCTAACGGTGTCTTTTGATGAACAGAAGTTCTTACTTTTATGACATCCACGTTTCAATCTTTCTTTGTGTCTGGTGTTTTAGAAGGTACAATTATTACCAACGCGGTTTTACAGAGAAGGAACTTGAGGCACTCTGCACTGGAGTTCTGCAGTGCAGGACTAGGTGAGGGAAGTGAGTTGCCTAAAGTGGCAGCGACCACTCTCAGGGGCACCCAAGTGTACCGTAGGCACC